ACAGAAAAAGCCTCACCCTCCCCATCCAGAACTGCCAAACCATCTTTGACATAGGTTTGGAGGGAAGACAACAATGTAAGTTTGTTTACTTCACCTTTGAGGTGGAGGCAAAACATTCAGGCAGTGTAGCACAACACTGTCACAAAAGTTGGGCATTCTCTCTCTCTTTGTGTTTGTGTGTGTGTGTGTCAGAGAGAGAGAGAGAGAGAGCGCACAATATAGCTATGTTCTGTTGTTGCTTTTAATGCATCCACATGATCTGCTTCTGGGGATGCCATTTTCATGCTTGGTCCTTACTTTGTCTAGCTTGTCCACAGTAGAGCAAATGGTCCGGAATTTGCTATCTGGAACACCACAAACTGCAAACATCCCATCAAGGATACGTCTGTCATTGACCTACAAGAAAGTGGAATTGTTTTCAGATGTGTTCTCTTGTTTCGTCCTTCTACCACCTTTGAAGTGTAATGGAAGGAAGAGGCAGAAGAAGTCTTCCTAGTTTTCATTTCTTGCTTCAAGAAAGCAATGTAAGCCTTTGTGTATAAAAGGTAGTATCTGACTAAAGCTGTACATGCCATTGTTTTAGAATTTTGAAACCACAGAAAGAAATCAATTTTTTTAAACACAGAGAGGGAGGATTATGGGAATGATGAATATATAAGCAATACTTATTTTCAAACCAAACCTGAACTTATGAACTTCTTTTACAATTGTCATAATATGAAATGTTTCATTCATAACAGCATATAAAAATATTTGGCCTATTTATGAAATTTTAAAATATAAAATCTTTGTAAGAATAGCCCACACTAAAGAGAAAGCTGTTAAAAGAAAAGAAAAGAAAAGTGTGATGCTTATACAGCACCCTACAGCTCAAAGAACCCTTTGGGCAGTTTGCAATTTAATTATGCAGATTATACATTGCTCCTTTCCCGAGCTGGGTTCTCAATTTACCGAACTCACAAGGATGGAAGGCTGAGTCTGGCTACCTGAGATTAAACCAGATTGTGATCAGAATTTTGGCTGCAGTACCGCAGCTTAACCATTGCGCCACGAGCCTGTACCCTGTGCTACCTATGCATATTTGTCTTACTTTTTGCGATCTGAGGAGACAGAAAAGAAATGAAAACAGAGAATAGCTTTATGTTTTCTGTTGTTCCTCTACTCAAACTCTTATTTCAGAAATATTTGCCTGGCATATGTTACTTTACCTTGGAGATAAAAACAGGACTGGGAAGAAACACTGTATTTTCATGGAAGTGTCAATCACATGCCTATACTATTAAGTACCATGTTTAGAAAATCAAATGAAGGCAATTAACAAACTCTCATTCATAAAAATACATGACAAATGCAAAAACAACAGCATGACTCCAATGAATGAATGAATGAATGACAGATGTATAAAACATCCTAATTAGAAGCAGTACACTATCAGGAAAACTTTCAGCAGTTGATTAGCCTGAACTATCCATGTTTTATTAACTAGCTTCCTAGAAACAGGCAAAGCATCTGTGGCATGGGAAAGTTTGCTCACACCCATTCTCTGGAATCTTCTGATAAGAGGGCTTAAAGTATGGAGGATCCAGTCTTTGGAAGAGATTGGATAAAGTGTGGGTTCCTTCCAGCCCAACAACTCAGAAGAACTGGACATTTTAACCTATATCACAATGCATTTATTTACTTATTTATTTATTTTATTTTATTTATATCCTGCACCATCTGGCAACCAAGCCACTCTGGGCAGCTAACAACAATATAAGGGGGGGGATTAAAAACACGATAAAAATAAATACATGACAGATAGGGAAATTAAAACAGATGGCAGTAAAGGTGGAAAAAGGGTGATGGAGTGGATGGCCAAAAGAATGGTAAAAGGTAAAAAGGTAAATGTGTGTTCTGGAGGAAATCTAAACATGCCCTAACAAAGGCCTTCACTTTCCTCCCAAACCATGGAAATTCCCATCTGGGACACCAGGAGGAGAAGGCAGACAGTAACAATGTAGCTTTCTGTGGAACATGTTTTTGAAGTAGAGAAACAGTTGCCAGTCTTTAAAGGCAAAGGGGCAAGTAATTACAATTCACTCTTGCCAGGCATCCCAATCACAAAAAAGGGAACAAATGGAAACAAAAGGGAAAAGAAACACTCTAGAGACCAGATCCAGGAAAAAAAATGATCTAAATTATGATCTGAACTTTGTTTTATATGTTCACTGCAAGAAAAAAAATTACTAAGTGAAAGTGTAGTTCATTTTTAATAAGCAGCTCTAGCTTTATCCTTCTTACCTTGATACAAAAATCTCCTATTTGTAGGGCACTCAGAATCTCATGCACAATCTTCAGACATTCTGCATCAGGAATCATGGCATCATACTGGCCAGCAATGTCAAAATCCTGGGATGCAAGTGGCAGAAATGAAAATCTAGACAGCATAAATTATTCTATGAGAATTCTTCATGCACATATGGCCATATTTTGGATTTCATGGAGTAGGGGGAAGGAAATGACAGTATAGTATAAGAAAGCCAAGGTGTTTAGTACTTTATTTAGTCGATTGCTATCACACTTTTCTCCCTTGTTGGGGCTGCTGAGAGTATAACCCTAATATCATTAAATCAGATTCCAAACTTTTTGGGTGGGTGAGCACACTTTGACATTTGTGGCACTCTCAGAAGCTGGCCACCCTGTAGACTTGCCCATTCAAACAGCTCCTGCTTCCTAGAAAGGAAATTTGTGAGTTTGCCCAAGAACTTAACATGCCAGAACATCTCTCTGGCCAATCTGGCTTTCCCACCTGACTAATTTCTACCTTGGTTTCTCTCAGCAGAGATCCATCGACCCTTCAGGAAACTCCAGACTGAGTGGCAGAAAACCTTTCACCTTCCATTCAGTGTTTCTTCTCCAGATTCTGTACAGCTGTGGCACGATCCTTCTTTCCAATAAAACTAACCTTCTGTATACAGCCTGACAAGTATAGTGTCTGGGATTTTTTTTTGGTAGCTGGTCCAAGCCCACCCTTGAGTGATGACTCCACTTTGAGTTTGTGCTATCTCTTCATGGTATTTCTAACTGGCTTTCACTGAGACGAGGAAAAGATTCCTTCACTGGCTGAAATCACAGAGGACAGGAATTGGAAGAGGTGCCAAGCTCTCTGGCTGCTGCACTGCTCTCAACTCTGGAATCAGTTCAGTCAGAGGGAAAAGATAATGGACAAATAGATGAGAGCACCTGCTGGCAGGAAAGGCCTTAAGGACTGGCAGATACAAGTGGAGTCTGAGAAGGAAAGAAAAGATTCTGTACAGCTGTGGCACTATCCTTCATTCCAATAAAACTAACCTTCTGTATACAGCCTGACAAGTATAGTGCCTGGGTTTTTGTTTTTGTTTTGGTAGCTGGTCCAAGCCCACCCTTGAGTGATGACTCCACTTTGAGTTTGTGCTATCTCTTCATGGTATTTCTAACTGGCTTTCACTGAGACGAGGAAAAGATTCCTTCACTGGCTGAAATCACAGAGGACAGGAATTTGGAAGAGGTGCCAAGCTCTCTGGCTGCTGCACTGCTCTCAACTCTGGAATCAGTTCAGTCAGAGGGAAAAGATAATGGACAAATAGATGAGAGCACCTGCTGGCAGGAAAGGCCTTAAGGACTGGCAGATATAAGTGGAGTCTGAGAAGGAAAGAAAGCCAAGTACAACAGATGCCGTTGTAGCACCCTGCATATACTTACACACTGATAGAATTCTCTGTAACGCCCCCTTGTCATTGCTGGATTGTCCCGCCTGTAGACTTTAGCAATATGGTAACGTTTAATATTAGTGATTTTGTTCATAGCCAAATAGCGAGCAAATGGCACCTGAGAAGAGAAGGCTAAGGAAAAACATTGCCTGAGCCCAGCCACACCTGTAAATTAGGAGAAAGGGAGTACAGAAATGAAATGAAATGAAAAAATAAATAAATTTACCCAGCAACAGCTATCAAATACTTCTGACCAAAGACATTTACAATATGCAGTACAATACATAAAAAGGGGAAAAGATTTTTTTTTCTAGTTTAAAACAGGTAATTATAATAGTTCATTAGGACACTTGTCACCCAACCAATTACAGCATCCTTCAAGACCAGACTTGCTGCATAGAATGCAACTTCTTGGCTGCCAGTGCAAATTGAGCTACAGACTAAGTGATAAATAACTGATTGTCAGCGAGCAGACGCCATACTGCTTCCTCAGAGGTGCAATTGGCAAATGACTGGATGACAGGTGACAGGAATCTTTTTCTAGGATCCATATAAAGGAGACCAAACAACAAACAGTGAGTTCTATCATCCATCTGATTGCAGCCATGGACGCATATTTGTTCCACGGTACATGCAGAGGGCATCTGTTGGAATCTGAACTCTTTAAAACCTCTCTGGAGCTGTGGTATAGATAGTGCTTCCAAGTAGTATGGCCTTGCATGATTAACTTGAAGCTGAGGATGCCAAATAGAGAACTATGACCTGACAACAGCAGCCCTTTCCTGACTGGCATCAGAGTCAAAGATCCAATGCCTAAGAGCTTGAGGAATAAAACAAAGAAACTTTTCCATCGATAGATAGTAAATCTTTAACTTATCTGGACACCACTGTGCCCATCCTCCCATATGCAGTTGCTCCAGCCAAGAACACTTAGTTCAGGGAGTATTCATCCATGGTATTTAGCATATGCCAGTATCTAAAATAGGCCGAATCAATTCTGGCCATAATTGAAGGGAGACCCAGCTCAGCCCTAATATGAGCAGGAGTCCCTTGACGGAGCTCCAGTGTCAGCCTTGTGAATTTATTTTGCACAACCTCCAAACTGAACTTGACTTCCTTTCCCTATATTTTTGCCTCATAAAGCATCTGAGTCAACATTTTAGCAACAAAAATCTTGAGGGCAGGATTTGATGATTTCTATAATTCTATGATTTATTAGCTGGCCTCCTCTGACATTTAAAACCCCCTCTTCAGCTGCCCAATAGATCTGGCACTCAATTAGGTTACAATATTTAGGTGGTGCTTCCAATAGTTTCTCACTGAAATGTAGGCCCAGATAGTTAAATGACTGCATCTGCTCAATGGTATGTCTATCAATTGACCAGTTATACTTCTCTTCCCAAAGACCACCATCTTAAGTTTTTGAATAGTTGATTGTTAATCATTCATTTTTGCAGAGATGGCAAAATTTAATTAAGATTCTTTTAAGGCCAATTTTGTTCTGGGATAACAAAATCAAATCATCAGCATAGAGCACCATCGGATCTTATGACTGCCAACACCTGGAGGGAAAAATGAAGGGGAAGCTATTCCAGGAATCAGGTCGCTAATATAAAAATTAAATAGGGAAGGTGCTAGGATGCAGCCTTGTTTCACCCCTTGGTTGATACAAATTTGTTCTGACAGAGCACCTTGTAGGCCAGTTTTCACCCCTGCAGTGTATTGTTTTGATGTAGCTGCTGTATAACCCAGAGGAGTCTTTTATCAATATTTGCTTGGGCCACAGGTCCCCACAATCTTGATAATTAACATAACCTATGAGGATCAATCAAAAATCAATACAGGCATTAGAACTCAAGGGAACAGGTCCAACCTCTCAGAGGAGTGAACAAGAGGTGCAGTGAAAGTTCCACAAGTCCTTAAATGAGATCCATTGTTTTGAGAATAGTTTTCATTTTTAGGAGGAAATACTCCTCAGAAGCAGAGTGCAATAGTAACACATCCTTAGCTTCAATGTCTACTGCATTCTTCTGTCTAACAGAAGTTTTAACTATTGTCTTACAGTCATGCCATCTCTTCCTTCTTTCTATGTGACAACATAACTGACATAAGAAATTAAAATTTTTTAATGAAGGCAGTTGTCCCATCAAAATAATGCTACAAAATATTGCAAACTTGCTTTGCTTCAATAGCTTATCAAATACAGCAACTGAGGTTTCAACTTAATTAGGAGTACCATTTGGCTAAGCTAGGAGCACAAGGTGGAAGGATACAGTCAAATCATACCGAAGAGACAGGAGCTCTCCCCCCTGATCTTTCAGATCATAAATGAGCTTTGAATCTTCTCCATATTTCCCTGTCAATGTTTCCTAAAAAAAAGAAGAAGAAGAAGTGGGGAGAGGAGAAGCAAGTGACAAAAAATAGAGTAAAACAGAAGATAATATGTAAATGTAAGCATCTTAGGAGAAGGCAAACAAAGGTTCAGCAATAATGTTTTTGCAGAGTCCTAAACTCTGATAAGTTATAAAGATATCTACATTATTGGTATTATTACAGTAGGACCCCTGTATCCACGGGATCAATATCTGCAGATTCACTTATCCACAGTCTGAAAATATTAAAAATACATAGAAATATGGATTTTCTTACACAATACAAGTTAAACTTCTGCACCTGTGCCACCTTCAACCTCAGGACTAGGTAACCAAAGGTATCATTTTAAAACTTTTATTGTGACCAGAGGGTTTAGAAACTTTGGATCCCGATCTGGATGCTGATCCTGATTCAGAGGTTTCTCTTCTCCAAACAACTCTACTTTCTCTTATATTTCTCTTCCTTGTCTCATTAATACCTTATTTTATCCAGTGTTATACACAGTCCCATTTATTTTAAGAGTCTCCAGCAATTATTTAAAACAGAAGAGCAATTGAAATGATTCTAGTCATAATCATACGAATCCCCAGCATATAGAGCTCAAGAGCAGTTTAACAGTCCTGCACAACTCCACCAAATCTTACTGCACCTGTCAGTTTCTCTAGTTTCACTTTTGATTCAGCTTGTTTATCTCTTCTTTTCTTTTCTGTTTATTCATTTTTCAAACATCAAGGAATATTCTGGGATCAGGAAAGAGGCAGTAATCCATGTGTTATAGGCAGTTCATGTATGCATTTCATTGAAACTTCTGGTCAGTATTTCGATCCGTGACTTTCCTCCCTGGTATTCGTAAGAGGTTTTTTAAATGATTTATTACATTCCATTGGGCTTTGTCAGCTTAATCAGCTCTCATCAACTAGCGGGATGTTACTCTTTTAGCCTTGAAGGCACTAAATCAGGGGATGGGAGTGTGGTTTCTCTCTTTTTCCTCTTCCACTTCGTTACCGAATCTCCCTCCTCCCGATCACTGCTGTGGGCATTCCACTCTCTCTTTATTTCATTTCTGCTTCTCTCCTACTGCCCCCAGATAAGTATACTTCATAAAACATAAAATGTTATTTATGTATAAGTCATTGGATCGTCCTTTTTTCTGCCTTCTATTTCCACTGAGCAGGAGCTCTAGGGAACTTCAGCCTTTTACCATTTTGTTCCAGGCCACGCCTGCGATAAAAATCATGTACTTTTATGTTAGTTGTGTTACTGTTATTTTAACAGTAATTTAAAAGTTATATATTAAAAAAAGAAATATGAATTTTCAAGATGTAATTATCAAATCTGGCCACGAGAAGGAACCAAACACTATGCTATATAGGTAAGCCACCACCATTTTACTTCGTCCTCCACCAGCTTGAGGCAGCTTCCTCTACCTTCTAGAGCAGCGTTGTAAAACTCAGAGCTGGATTGGCTGGCAAAGCCAGAGGACGGACGCTAACCTAAGTCAAACTGCCTCCTGGGAGAGGTTTCGCACCTTCCACCCTTCCTGCTTTCCAGCCAGCCCCTTAGCACTCCCAAGCAAACAAGAAAATGAATTAGAGAGAGAGAGAGATGGTTGTCTCCAGCATGTTGAGGAATGAGAGATTTCAATTTGGTTCTTATAGAGGTTCCATCGAGATAAAAATTACAGGTATATGAGAGTCCTGGGTCCACAGATTATGTTAGCTATAACACAGTATCCATGGAGGGGGGTGGGCTTGGAGCTGATCCCCCATATACATGGGGGTCCTACTGTATTTCTCTTCCACTCTTCCACTTCGTATATTACCAATGCTCAAATATGAGCCAATAAGTTTCTGTGGCCGGCATCTTCAGAGCACAGGAGTCAGAACTCTGTCTGTGTTCTGGTGCAGTTTGTGGGATAGTTGATTATTTATAGCTATGGGATCAGCTTCTTGTCCTTTTCAGGACACTGGATGATTATGGTGATCAGTGTGTTTTTTGTTGTGGGTGTATTGTTGTGATAAAGGGGAGAGATGATCTGTCACTGTGATTGATGGGTGTCATTAGCTGGTCTTTTGTGTACAGTGATCACTGGTCCTTGTGGTTGGGTAGACTTCATTGACCTTTTGCAGGTTGTGTTTTTCAGTACTGGGAGAAACGTTAGGAAGAAAAACCTCAAGAACACGGCCAGACAGCTCAAAAAACCTACAACAACCATCGGAACCCTTCCATGAAAGCCTTCAAGAATATATCACCATTTAAGTCTATATCTTCAAAAGACAGATCACACATACAGAAAATGTTACTCACAAAACTGTATCACCCAGAGGGTGTTGGTGAGTTGCTCAAAGAGTTCCTATGGGAAACACATTCCATAACCAGATATGTTCTACCGAAATCTAGTCCTACCCAAAAAGGAGATCGGTTAGAAAAGCATAATTACCACTGTGTTTAGTCCGTGTGAGTAAACACACTAGAAACTTCAGTCTTTCAGAAGTGGGCAGGATCAAGAGGTAGATATTTTTCAATTCCATGTATATAGGGTAATCATTTTTTTTTACAAGAAAAATCAAAAAGAAATAAATGTAGAGTAACTGGTAAAGATAAGGTAACTCAAGCATCATAAAAATGTTAACATGGAAGTAAACCCCACTTCATTTATGGGATTTACACCCAGGTAAGTAGCTATGTGACTGCAGCCTCAGTGTATAATTTGATAGGAAATATATTCACTGCGGGTACCAGCTGCTTCTGACGTTTCCAACATTTGCCTTGATTTGCTAGAAAATTACTGATGTGAAGACAAGGTCTGATATATGGACCAGCATGTGACACTTCTATCAGCACCTCCTCTCACCACTACTCTACTGATCCAACCTCACCTTTAGTTCAAACACTGGTGTATCTATTGTCTCAGCTCCGTGGCGCTTGAAGCAATTGATAATGGTGGTAAAGACTTTCTCTCGGATGGCCATCTGCTTGGGACTATAGTCCCTAGTGCCCTAAAAGGATAAAACAAAAGCCATGAAATTAGAAAATGACCATTGCCTATCCACATGTTAAGTTCAGTAAAAGCAAATGGGGATGTCGTACATAGTAAAGTACCAGCCCTGCAGCAGGTACCAACAGAAAGGAATTTGTGATAGCATTTCCAGAATACAGTTTGGGGGTTACTTACGCATAAAGTCTAAAGCATGTGGGACTTTTGTTTTTAAAAAATGAGGTAGTTAAGGAGGGATAAACATGATACATGTTTTAAAATTATGACTTGTATACACATTTTTCAGTTTTGTAACTCTATGCCTGTGATTGCTTGTTTAAATAATCTAATGGTAGATTTAGGACAGTCCACAGAAAATTTTTCACATAATGCATGACAGAGTTGGCAAGAGGGTATGTGGAGAAAGGAAATACCAGACCTCTGGGCCTGCTCTAACTGGAGTGTTTTCACCCACCCACATCTAAGGCTACATACTACCTGTGGGAAGTATCCCAGTGAATTTTTAAAATAATATTAAAACCCAGCAGTTAAGTTACAATAAACCTATTTGGATTTCATTACAATTGTTCTAACAGCCTGCTCTTGTTATAGTAATAGGTTATCTACGAAAATGGAGTTTTCACACCAAGACAGTCTATGGTGAGTGCAAGCAATGTATTCTATGCCCTCAACATAGATTTTGGAAGATTTTATGTTACCTGTCCCAATTGCTCTTGATGTTGCCTGTTATTGGGCAATAAATATCTGATATATTTATTAATTGTACTGTGGTGTTTCTGACACCAAGGAAGGAAGGAACCACTGAACTACCAAGTATGAATAGGCAAACTGCTATGTTGATTGTTAAATAATTCAGTAGAAGCTTCAGTTTTTGATCTGCAAAAACTTATAGGAACAGAAAACTTTACCAACACCCACAGATATCTGCTCTACTATTACCCACCCTAGCTTTGGTCTGTGGAATGCATGCTTCTGAGATGGAGCTGCTTTTTGCACTCTGCATAGCCAAAATCTGAACAGATATTTGAGGGAAGAAATGTGCCATTTTGCTATACAGCAGGACCACCGTATCCATAGGATTCGAAGCTGCAGTTTCACTTACCCATTGGCTGAAAATATTAAATAACACCCCCAGATAGATGCATTTCTGAAGCGTATTACCAGAAATGACCACTAGAGGGAAACAGAGACTACACTATAGCTCTATCGCAGTTCTGTGCCCACACTTTTTAGCATCTGAAGGGGAGCCTTGGAACTAATCCCCTGTGGATATCAAGGTCCTACTATACAGTGAAACCCTACAACTGCATACAATGTAAATAAGTGTAAGTCACCTTGTAGTACACAACCCATTTGGAAAACTGTATATAAATAATTTACAAATTTTCCTTTTTTGAAAATCGTTAATAATTTACAAAAATTAATCATCGTCATTTAGTCGTGTCCGACTCTTCTTGACCCCATGGACCACAGCACGCCAGGCCCTCCTGTCTTCCACTGCCTCCCGTAATTGTGTCAAAAATAAATGTAGCCTGCTAAAATAAATGTAGCCTGCTAAATCAACTTGCATGGAGAATTCATAGGCTAAGGCACTGTGTCATATTTTGGATCAAAGTAGAAGACTGTATAGCAGGGGTTCCCCAACCCTGGTCCGCAGCCTGGTACTGGGCCGGGGCAGGACCGGATGTGGAACTCCCGGCCCCACATGTACATCCCCCCCCCACTCACACACACAAGCACGCACTGCCCACCACGCATGCATGGGTGCCCCACCCACCCTATGTGTGTGTACGGGTAAGTTTCACTGATTCAAGTGGCCTACTCCAGTTGTGACTTGCCATGCTAAGTGAAAGGATTTCAGCCAAGTCTAAAATTTGATTAAAGGATGCACACAAATGCACTCAAACATTCTACAAATAAAAATGTTAACACTCTAAATAAAGCTATGGCTGTGTCACTCTCCAGAGATGACACAAATTCAAAGCCAAGGATTGCTGTGCAGTCGTTAGATCTTACTCACTTTTAAGCAAACAAGTTGTCATTTTCCGTTTAGTACAAAAAATAGTTCGTGGATGAAAGTGAGATTTGTTTACTTCTAAAGAAGCCTTATCAAAATTTCATGTTATATCACTGACCCCAAATACTTAAGAGCCGCAGAGTGATCATTCTGACACAGTACAATGCCCTCCCTGACAACACCACTGAGAATATCAGGTTGTCACTAGGATCAAGCAGACATTGATGGTGAAGAGTGCCACCCAGTACACCCTACTTACTGGAGCTATACTGAATTTGCATGACTCTGATTTTGGGATGTGTGCTACTTAAAGCTTAGAAGGGCAGCTTTGATCTGGAACTGATAGGCTGCATATGAAGAATGAGTTCTTCTAATACACCACAAGAACATCTACACCAAAACTCCGTTACATAACCATTTTATTGCCCCATCAAAATAAGGCATAGTCAGACATTCAGAATGTAACAAAAAACAGTGCACGAGGCAGGGAGCACACTCACTCCATCTGCCTTGATCATGTAGAGAAACGCTCTGCATAGCTGAGGCTTTCCTCTTCAGAGCATCATTTTTAACAAAAGGAGAGTGGTGATGAGGGTGGGAAGCTAGCCCTTTCCTTTGCTTGCAAGTTGATGTTTATGTCTGTGCATCCGGAATGCCTGAGGAGGGCTATAGAGAGTAGGTACAAGATGCTTGTATAACCCATTCATTCATTCATTCATTCATTCATTCATTCATTCATTCATTCACTCACTCACTCACTCACTCACTCACTCACTCACTCATTATACTGCCCATCTAGCTACCAGAGCTACTCTGGGCAGTTCACAACAGAAAGAACAAATATTAAGTCATGATTACATAAACATAACAACTACTCAAAATTAAGTAAACATAATCAATTAACTAAAACAACAGCAATTCATAAAAGCAAGAAAGCAGAACTGGTGACTTAAGTGCTGAGTTATTTATGTTGTTTAGAACTCCAAGATGTACCAACCAGTCAGGCAGAAAGGTGTACATTTAGAATTAAGCAGTTCGGAGACTAGAAATTTGTTGTATTGTTTCTCTTGCTCCAGAACTAAGTAGAACCGTAAGCAGAGCTCATATTCCTGCCAAAAATTTATCCCTGGTTAAAAACCTCAAGCTTTCTTTATGCCAGTGGCACCAGGTGTTTAATCGTGGTGATTATTTTGTGGTTGCCACTGTTAAAGCAACTAGGAGTCAGAAATCCTTGCTGATACATTGCAAATTACTCAGATCAATCAGAATTTTTCAATCCACCTTCCATCTACACCTGCTGTAGAAATAACAAAGAAATCCCTGTAGTATTTTTGTGGAGTAATGGGAGTAAGTATTTCATCCCAGCAGAACAAACCTGAGTCTCAAAATGGGAATCACATAACAGTGCTTTCAAAGCTGTCAAATTCTCTTTCAGCTCCCGTATGTCTAAAATTAAGCTGAATATGCAAAATAACAAAACTGTCTGCAGAAAAAGTCGCCAATATGCTTTTGCTTGTCACTGCTGGCAAGAAGAAGCAGAGGGCAGTTTACCTTTGGCGTCTTGAGGACAAATTTATGCTTCCCTTCCTCAGGGGACAACACTGCCTTCATTTCCAACAGCTTTGCCACCTGCTCTGCAATCTGAAGGAGAAAAATATTAAACAGTGTAGGTTACACACATTTGATACTTATTTATCTGATACTTCTGCTTAAAGCAGCCCATGGCTACAACTCTCTGACTCAACTCTCTGTTGCCATTGTCCTCCTATGGATTTTATAATTTTCCTTAAAAACCAATATAATAGCTTTACATGTTATTTTGTAAAGATACAAACTTCCCATCAAGATGCCAAATATCTTTCCCACAAAACACAAGATGTGAGTAAAACATAAGGCTCCATGTTCCGTCTCCTTGGAGGCATTGGTCAAATCCCACTGTTGACAGCACAGCTTTCATGCCCAGTGTGGAGTGGAGTGGATAGAGTGATGGAAATCTGAGTTCACATCCCTGCTGAGTCATGAAAACTAACTGAGGGAACAGAACTGATTAAGTCACTCATTTAAATATCTTATTTACCTAGAAAGCCCTATTTTGGGTCATTTTTTTCAGTTCTGACTTTACAGCATATAAGACACACACAGACAACAGGGTGTCTACATAATGTGGCTATTTCATTCATTTTACTAAATCCTCCCAAAAAGGAGGTAAAATGACTCCAAAAGTCTGAGGTGCAGAATCCTCATTTCTGAACTAGAAATAAAAGGAAACCAGATTATTTATGAAGTTGTGTTCAGGACCACTCCTACTAAGTCTTCAAAAAAAGTAGATGTGTCAGTCTGTCTCAGCAAGCTGGCACTCCTCCACCCCTTTATTTTTGTCAATACCCTCTCAAATCTGATATGATAGATTCATATGTCCGAGATAAAATGCCAATTCAGTCAACCAATGAAATGCACTCACCATGTAAGCAAGCAAGATGGCAAACATTTTCCTGTGAGACAGGGGATCCTGAACATGAGTTGCAACAGATAACAACAGGAAGGCTGAAGTAGCTAATATTACTCAGCAGAGAGAAGGCATGCTTACACTGTGTGCTGAGGATGTAGTCTCTCCCCCACTCCATCTTCCAGATTCTCTCATACTACAGTATATGACATACAACATAATAGGGAGCTGAAATATTTATGATCTACCCACTGATTGCTCACTTTATCTGTCACATGCTACAAAAGAACCCAGTTTTTTTAAAAAGTAACATTTTGCTTTGTACTTGACTGGTTATTGAAATGACTGCAGTACAACCTTGCTATGTACAATATAAGGAGTACTGAGTGTTGAATGTTTGAAGATTGGTCTGGCTATTATTAAGAAGCTTATGGTGGTATCCTGTCACATGAAAAGGAACCTCTTTCAGTCTCCACACAGGAGATTAAACTAATAATTTTACATGTGAGCGTAGAGAACGAGACAGGCCTGTTGGAATGCAGCTGGGACTACTGCTGCAAATATTCATTGTTGTATTCCACCAAATTTCTTCTGCTTATGGCAGCCCCACAGCAACATAACACAAGAGCATCACAGCTGTATGAGATGTTCAAAGAGTGGTTTACCACCACCATTCCTTTCAGTGCATCTTCAAAGATGAGTGAGGATTTGGACTAGTAAGGTTTCCTAGCTGTATGAGATGTTTACCACGACCACTCCTTCCACTGCATCTTCAAAGATGAGTGAGGATTTGGACTCAAATCTCCCAAGTGCTAAGCCAACACTCTATCCAGTATACCAGTGGTTCCCAGAAGCCATCACCATTAGCTGTACTTGCCAGGGTTTCTGGGAATTGCAGTCTAGAGTTGGGAACCACTGCATTACACCACACTGTATCTTGCTGCAATAACAGGAAAAGATTAATTGAACTGGTGTCCCAGTGCCAGAGCTTACCATCAGCAGAACAGCAAACACCGTAACAGCAATTTGCAGCCTGCATTTTTGTATCCACTTTTTAGAAACAGACCTGGCACAGGCATCTGCCATAATTTTTGGGACTCTCTTTTTTTAAACGCACTACAGTACTCATAATATATTGTGCAAAGGCTGATAGAAGACTAGTTTACAATGAAAGCTATTTTTAAAATTGCTTAGTAGTCTAATAAAGATATCACCTACGCTTTTGCATCGTTTGAGAACCACACGGTTTTATTTATTGAAATAAACAATTTTCGTTTTGGATTTTATCTGAGATCTCCATTTGACAGCAACATGACGGTAGGTGTATTAACAGAGCACAAATCTCTCCCCACATTACTCAGTGCTGCCTTTGGAGGGGATGACGGGAGCTGTTTAACTGGCTCAATTTCCAAAATTTCTAGAAGCAAGTGATCTTTCGCATATGTATTTTCTGCAGCTGCCCTGTGTATTGTATAGTTTTTTTTTAAAAAAAATTATTTGGAATTATGGGCGATGGAGGCAACATCCCAACATGCAACTATTTGAATACATTTACTGTTCTGCCCCGCGCTGACAGCCTAGGGAGGTCCCCTCAGCGCATCGACGACGTTATACGGCCACCCATACAGAGCACATGAATGACAGCTGCCGCTCAAGTCCATGCAGGTCGGGTCAGCTCCGGAGCTTTCTACCTGAACCCCTGTTTTGGCAACCCCACGGCCGGCCTCACCTCCTCCGAGCTGGCCTTCTCCTGCTTCAGGCGGCGCACCAAGTCCGCCTGCTTCTTCAGCGCGTCTTCCTCGGCCATCATCGCCGCCGCCACCTTCCTCCTTCTCTACCGGCAGCAAAAAGAAACACGAAAGGAAACACCGCATCGCCACTGCCGCCGCCACCTTCCTCCTTCTCCACCGGCAGCAAAAAGAAACACGAAAGGAAACACCGCCTTCGCCTCAGCGCGCACGCGCCAAGCATGCGCAGTAGTTTGCACCGAAGCCGCTGGAGCTGCCCGGACGCCCTATTCGCGTCACGTCAAAAGCGCTGGGCCAGGCGACGAATGATGCAAGAGGGGCTTAGGGTGGCGAAAAGGGGAGAGTAGAGAGGAAGTGACGTTAACCGCGCGGTATTTTCTGTTGCTCCCCCCCCCTTACCCGCCCACGTGCATCTTCCAGTCAAAGGAAACCGATCGGTAACAGCAAAATCCTCTTCGCCCCTAGTTAGAAGTGACGTTCGGCTGAGTTGAGGAACGCTTACCGTGCCACACCGATCGGTAACAGCAGAATCCTCTTCACCCCTAGTTAGAAGTGACGTTGGGCTGAGTTGAGGAACGCTTACCGTGCCACCTGCAGCCCTTTGCCCACTTGCTTGGGAGTAAGTCCTGTTGAGGTCAGATTCACTTATTTCTGCATCGAAATCTGTAGGGTTGGATCGTTTTGTTGCAACAAGCTAATAAGACGACGCTTTCGGCACCTGTTCTAAAATGGCAACGAGGTCTTGTCAGTTTGTACCTGAATTAAGAGCATGACTCCCTGTCTCTCGTTTCCCATAGAATTTATTCTCAAGCCTGTTCTGTGGAACTCAAAAGGAGCATCCTGCAGTCACAAGGCTGGCCCGCCGGATCTTAGTGCATATTTACCAGGAAATAAGGACGGGAGATTCCAGTGAGGTTTCCTCCCAACACCGAAGACTTCCGTTTATTTAATTCTGAGTTGCCTAAAAGGCATGAGGTTAGCATCCCTGCTTTGTGTGACCCAAACTTCCAAGAATATGTTTCAGTCAGTAACCAAACGTATTATCTTTATTTACACATTTAAAATACTTTTAACCTGCCTTTCTCCTTAAAAAGGATCCAGGGCGGCTTACAACAATTAATAGACAGTATTTAAGTTAGCAAGAATGAGTATGCAATGCTAAAAGGATCATAATGAATATAAAGAATAACAATGAATATAAAAGTGACACATTAGAGGTGTTATTCGCAAATATTTGCACATTCGACTTTAAATTAAAACAAACACCACTGGGTTCAATAGGATCTGCCTAGATTGTTATTTTAAACAGACATTGGGCTTTCTAGCTGCTTTGGTGAGCTCCCAAAAGCCATCCAAAACAGCTGGAATGCAAAAGGTTTCACACACATGCTCTAAAACAGCAATTTTTTTTGTAACTCACTGTAAGTCTCAACTAACAAGAGATCCACTGAATCAACTGCTGAATGGTAAATAGACACCTAATGTATATCTCACTGAGCCAGTGGATCTGCTATAATTTGGTTTAGCAGCATAATTGCTGTGGTTTTCTATCCATACAAGCTATCCAGCAAATAGTTTTATTCTGAGGGACAGGAAACCTAAATAAACATGCACAAATACATTCTCTGTTAAAGTCCCAGTTGCTTTATATGGATTACCATGCTGGTTGGGGGTGATGAGAGTTGTAGTCTAACACATCTGGAATGCATCAAGTTCTGGAATATGGTGCATTCCCCCCCCCAGTAGTTTTCAGTTATAAAGATTAAACCCTTCTCGCACAAGCCAGAGATTCTTGATTTCAAGGAACCCAAAATAAGCATATGTTCTGAGATGAAGGTCTCAGAATTAAATGGGGCTTATGCTCTAATAAATTAGCACAGCAAAACATAACTTTAACAGGAGAGTACCAGTACAGCCAAAAGAACAGAAATGATGAAGCTGCAGTTTTCCACAAATACCAGCTAGGGCAGAACTAGTGAATGTTCTATAAGCTGCTGCAAAAGCAAGGATATGGCAGAGATGTGGTAGAAATAGAACTCCTCCCATCTCAGATTATGGATAAGGCAGGTATCTGACTGCTCTGGCAATGCAAAGTCACAATGGCTATCTCATTATAGCAAAAGTGTTTAGCACATATCAAACTTAGAAAGTAGAGTATTGGGTAGATATAAAGACAAATATAGACATACAAAACCACATGGAGGCACTCAGTACTAGAGGAAGATGTTATGATTAAACAACATATGCAGATTTGAATTCTAATTTCTCCCTGATGTGTGAAAATGTAAGGAAGAAACCTAAAGTGCTTATCTAGTTTCTGTATTTAGGAGACTAAATTAAACTGGCTGTGTGGAATAAACATAAAGATTTGACAACTTACTCTGTGACAACTGGGAACAATCCACCATAAGAGAAATGCTTGTTATTATGTGCCTTCAAGTCAGAACCAACTTATATCAATCTTAATGGGGTTTTTAAGATAAGTGAAATATCTAAGCTGTTTTGCAAGTTCTACACCCCTATAGAGTTTCTGTGGCTAAGCAGCGATTCAAACCCAAGCCTCCTGAGTCGTAGTCAATTACACTGTCCACTATACCACCACACTGGCTATCCCTAGAGCAAAGAAAATGGCTTTAAATTTACTGGCTTTAAGTCTAGGTGCCCTGGGTTTTGTTTTTCTTTAGCCAAGGCTGAATATTGCACAAAGCAGTACTTACAGTGTACAAAACTGTATGCAGTATAGGATAAGTTTGCACTAGTTAAATTATCAGTCAGATACAGGTGTACACAATGTGTGTTTTACACCTGCAAGATGTGTACAACAAAACAGTTGTAGCTCACTGCTATATCACACTGTGGAAAATAGTGGACAACTCCTCTTTATGGCACAGAGGATTGCCAATGCCACACAAAGTTTTAGAAAAATTATTCCCACCCTTAGGTCTTCAGTGTGTAAGTTCTAAGGCAGTCATTCCCAACCTTGGATCCCCAGATGTTCTTGGACTACAACTGCCAGAAATCTTGGTGAGCATAGATAGTGGTGAGGGTTTCTGGGAGTTTTAGTCCAAGAGTATCTGGAGACCCAGGGTTGGGAACCACTGTTTTAGAACTTCCACACTGAAGACCAGTAAGTTTACTTGAGAGATTGATTGTTTTGAGTTTCTAACATCCTTTTCTAAATAACATTACTTCCACACTGTTTTAGAACTTCCACACTGAAGACCAGTAAGTTTACTTGAGAGATTGATTGTTTTGAGTTTCTAACATCCTTTTCTAAATAACATTACAATCATATACTGTAATGCTAAATCTTTTCATTACACTTTTTACCTTATAGTAGCTGTGTTTAGGAATGGGACAAAACATTAGAGACTCCAACGCTTTAAACCAAATAATTTATTTACCAATTATTTAATTATAAATAGGCATTATTAAATACGTTTTAAAACATTTATTTATAATCATTGAAGACATCACTGTACTTCTGAACAAACTGCCTATATTAGGAAGCTAATTCCTCTCGCTAATCAAACTTTGCCCAGTTCACTGTACTCCATTCCCACTTAATTCATACTGACATATGACAGTTCCTTGGTTTGGTTACTGTATGCTTTAGTGTACACTTCATTTCTCTCAAGAAAGCTTCTTCAGTCTTCCCTTTGGTCCAAACGGTGCTGTTCCCTAAAGTTCTTTGTTTCCTGTTTGACACTCTGGTCACAAGTCTCTCAGAGGCTTCCCTCTCCACATGGGATTATCTTCTCTAAGTGCTTTTGAATGACTGTAGCCTTGCCTTGCAGTTCTTCCTTAGCCACCAACCTCTGTTGCTGGTATGAAGTCTTCAGATCTTCCCAAGCACTTCTGGCTGCTTCTCCTGTTGCTCTTCCTGATGGCTTGTAACCAGCTGTTCCATCTTCATCAATTGCTTTTTTCCCTCAGCTTCTGCTCCCAACAGACTAATTCTTGCTCTCCAGCAAGAAACTATTGGCTATGTTCTCAATGAATCTAGTTCCATCACTGCTCTGTTTTAGTGTTACTACTTTTTCAAAGCAGTTGTATTCCACCTTTTAGCCAAAAAGGCTCCCAGAGCAGTTTTCTAGATAAGCAGTACACCCTAACAATTTAAAATTTAAGATTAATATTTGCAATCTAAAGTTGTAACACACACAAGAAATAAAAAATGGAGGGGGGCAAAGAGAGAAATTAAATTCAGTGCTTATTATGACAGCTGGATGGAATGGTTGAGACGACTTGCTGGAAAAGCTGTAGCTGATTGACAAGTGAAGGCAAAAGTATCTTTCTCCAGTTAGTCTCCTCTCAGAGCCACCACTGTGTGTCAGTAGTCAGATGGTAAATTGCTTCCTCAAGCTGCTGTTCAAATCATCAGCTGGTCTTTCTGTGTTGTACATTCAGCTGAACTATGCATAGTAAGAAAGAATGCCATGTGCAGACTGATGACTAGAAGGAGGGGTTCTCAGCACTAGGTGGCTCAGGCGTCTTGAAGTCAACCCGAGAACGAACAGAAGATCATGGAATGTTCACATTACAGCCAACGAGATTTTGCCAATTTGGATTGCTTCACTATGAACAAATACCTTTGCATTTGGCATAAAGGACTGGATGAGCAGTGAGCAACCATCCATGAAAGCTCATGCCAAATGTGTCAGTGCTTATATCACAGGATTGTTTTTGCCAGAACAGACTAATATGCTCCCCCTTTCACTAAATATATAAGCAGAAACTTGTCTCATACATAGTCAGTTTTACCGCAAAGTAAAAAAGTAGTTGTTTATTCAGTCTGCCAATTTGACTCTCTAAAGCAGTGGCTCCCATCCTTGGGTCTACAGATGTTCTTGGACTGTAATTCCCAGAAATCGTGGCCAGCACAGGTGAAGGCTTCTGGGAGGTTTCATCCAAGAACACCTGGGGTCCCAAGGTTAGGAACCACTGCTGTAAAGGTAAAGGTTCCCTTTGACATTTAGTTCAGTCGTGTCCAATTCTAGGGCGTGGTGCTCATCCTCATCTCCAAGCCATAGAGCCAGCATTTGTCCACAGACAGTTCCCGCGGTCACGTGGCCAACGCGACTCGACACGGAACGCCATTACCTTCCCACTGTGGTGGTACCTATTAATCCACTCGCATTTACATGCTTTCGAACTACTAGGTTGGCAGGAGCTGGGACAAGCGACGGGAGCTCACTCTGTTGCGTGGATTCAATCTTATGATTGCTGGTCTTCTGACCTTGCAGCACTGAGGCTTCTGCGGTTTAACCATGTAACCACTGCTTTAAAGACCGCAAACTTCTCTGGTCCTCGGCAAAAGATATGGTTTCCATATTTTTACAATTCTAGTTTAAAAACAGAAGCTCAGTAATCAATTAAGCTTTATTTCACACACATATTTAGTTTTCTCACTGTGTCCAAATGCAGTAGATTGAGTCTAAGTAGAAAACATTACAGCAGCCTGTACTTCCCAGGATAGTTTTAAGCATTCTCTATGACAATGAAGAAATTGAAACAGTTAAGAGATTTTGTATATCTTGATTCAATCATCAATCCAAATGGAGACTGCAGCTAAGAAATAAGAAGACTAACATTCGGAAGGCAGCAATGAAGAAATTAGAAAATACAGTATCAAGTATATAAGGATGTGTCACTGGAGACCAAGACCAGCTGCACGCTTGCATTTCCAATCATCATGTATGGGTATGAAAACTAAACAGTTAAGAAAGCTGACAAAAAATTGATTTGTTTGAAATGTGGTGCTGGAGGAGAACTTTGTGGATACCCAGGACTGCCAGAAAGACAAACTAAGCCTGAACTATCTCTGGGGGTAAAAATGTTGAGGCTGAAGCTTTTGGCACAGAAGGCAGGATTCTCTGGCAAAGGCAATCATGCTGGGAAAGATGGCAGGCAGCAGGGAAATAAGACGACCATATACAAGATGGACTGACTCCGTAAAGGAATCCACAGGCTTTAGTTTGCACAAACTGAGCAGGGCAGTTAAGGACAGGATATTTTGGAGATCATTCATTCACAGGGTTGCCATAGATTGGAGGTGATTTGGTGACACACAACACCAGGGAAATAAGACGACCATATACAAGATGGACTGACTCCGTAAAGGAATCCACAGGCTTTAGTTTGCACAAACTGAGCAGGGCAGTTAAGGACAGGATATTTTGGAGATCGTTCATTCACAGGGTTGCCATTGGTTGGAGGTGATTTGGTGACACACAACACCAAAGTGTTGTGACTATCAGAACAGCCTGCTGGCAGGAATGAAAGATTGTTCTTGCTTGCCAAGGAGGGAGTAAAGGGGAGAAAAACAAGGGAAGCACCACTACCATTAATGTCTGCCCCATCTGCTATTAAGTGCATTTCCCCACATCCCCCTCAAAGACCCTTCCCTTTCTTTCTTTATTTGTATCAGAGCATCAAACAATATAAAATTATGGACTTATGAAAAGTTAGGAAAGGAATGTTGAAAGTAAATTATTTTAAGGATATATGGAATGTTTCTCCAATACATGCATTTGGGAAAGGGAAAGGTTATAACCCAGGACAAGAATCATTATACTTTTGGAGAGAAATAGGGCATATGAATTAAAAAGGAGGAGGGGAAAATCCCAAGGGTGGTGGGGAGCACTGGGTGCATTATGTATTATGAGTTTTGATTTTAAATTGAGTTTGTTTTTATTAGTTGTTTTTCTTTTGTTTTCTTTCTTGTATCTGTCACATTATGGTTTATTATTAATTTAAAATAAAAATGGACATATATGAAATATATATAAAATAAAAATACTTAAATGTTAAGATATTTAGACTATTTTTAACCAAAAGTGGATTACTTCAATAGTGTTATCTCAGCCATTTGCTAGATCTTCTTTTGTACACATGGTAGGGCATACATTGTATGCATGTAAGTGCCACATGGACTGAATTTTATCCTGGTAACCCCATTTCAGCTTCCCTTTATAATGTATTTTGTAACAGAAATATTTCAAGAACCTAATACTAGAATTAATTATGACAGCAATGGCAAAACGTCCCCACCAGGGAGAGCTTTCCCTTAATTCAGTGCAATTGAGAACCTCCACCTTCTCTACATAAAATATACAAACTGGTACATCCCACTACTGATGTTAACCATCTTCATAATCATCTTAGAACTGCAGAGCAAGAAGGAAACCTATGGATCATTGAGCCCAGTCCTTATCAGGAAGGAATAGTGGGGAGTCAAACTTCAAATCTCTGGCTCTGCAGCCAGATACAGTGGTGCCTCGCATAGCGATCGCTCCATTTAGCGATGAAATCGCTTTGCGACACATTTTTTGCAGCCCTCTAATTTAAAGACACCTGGCTTAAATTTGCCTGTGTGGTATTTTCTTTTGTTCTGCTCTATGGACATTAGGGGACAAATCCTATGCAGTTGGATTTCCACTTTTTTTAATTGGCTCTATTCCTGTGCAATTTTTCAAGTAAAGCTGTCCCACAGATGCTTTCTTCATGCCAGAAGACACTTTACTTACTTAAATACAGTACACTAGATTGTAATACTCAGAGAGATTTCCAAGTTAAAACTAGGTTTTTGCATTATTCATAAAATCATTGATGGCAGTCAAAATGGGTTATGCCAACTAGCTATATTTTTACTATTTCTTTTCAATGGCATTGGGGCACTAGTATTTTTTAAAAAAATCCAGCAACATGAAAATAGAAACTATGAGAGCTCGCTCCATCAGAGGTTTTCGATTATTATTGGCAATGAAAGTAACCTTGCTGTTGAAGCCATTACTGATCTAAAACAACATTGAATCACCATCTGTAACATGTATAGACATGCAGCTGAAAACGAAAGAGAAAAATGGTTTTGGCTTGTTAAAGTAATATATCATAACTTCCAAATGAATTGGCTACACCCTTTCCTTCACTTCAACTCAACCTTCAGTTGATGCCAGGGTGGAACTCTGAGTTGTCTAATATAGGTGGTTAAGCAAGCGTGAATACCTGACATACCTGAGCATCCTTATCATCAAAAGAGTAAAGCTATTTGTTCCAGCTTAAGGAAGTTTTCAGAAGACAATGTACATAGATGGTCACATATTTAGAGTACTAAATAAGAAATAGCCAAAATACAACAGTTTTCCCTTAGAATGCAGTTAGCATGTTTTGTCCTTTTGGGGGGGGGCATTCATAAAATATAAGCTTTTCCTTTCAGCAGTTTATATTTTAATAAATCTCACAGAATGTTAGGTTTTGTTCCTGTCAAAAGGAATTAAACCTTGTTCCTTTTTTTTGCTTCTCCCATATCCACCATTTAATATAAAAGTTGAGGTAATGAAAAATTAGACATTTTAAGCAGTGGTTCTAAGAGAGGCAATTGTTTTCTTTATTACAAAAGAGAAACAACACTGAACAAGCCCAAGTGGCTTTATAGGACGGTAGCATTCAATAAGCTTAGCACAAAGGTGCCAGTTTCCTTTAAAAAATAAATAAATAAACAAACATGAAATGAATGGGTCTATTTCTCCAATCTTCTCTTTATCTCTTCAATGATTTTCTCCTTCGGAATATTTGTCTAAAAGCCAAAAAGAACACTGGATTAGTACAATTCATCAAAATAATGTACCCCCTCTACTGCAGGAAATTTAAATTATTAATGTCTGTCCGATACTTCTTTTGTTTAAAGTCCTCTAAGAGAAATATTGCTGATGGGCCCTTTAAAAATACCAACCTCTTCCCTAGTAGGAACATCCCGAAGTTTCACAACTCCGTTATTCAGTTCTTCTTCCCCAACAATGGCAACAAGCGGGATGCCTCTTTCTTCACAATAGTGCAACTGCTTCAGTATCTTAGGATTCTTCTTATAAAACATCTCTGCCTGGAAGATGTTCACACCAAATATAGAAACCAGACATTCACACCCCACGTAGCTTGACATGGAATGCCGGAGAATTATTTCAGTCATTAATGCTATTAGAAAAACCCTAAAGAGAGGCTTTTCACCAAGTCAGGGACTAATGTGGTCCCGAGTACTCAACTCTGCTTCTAATATTGAACAGAATGAAGAATCTGTTTATTCTTCAGATATCTATTCTCTACTAAGCAAATTCCTGTCTTCTTTAAAGTTTGGGCAGGCTCAGAAGCACAACATTACAGTGGTGCCTCGCTTGACGATGTTAATTCGTTCCAGCGAAATCCCTGTAGAACGAAAACATTGTAAAGCGAAATAAGAGAGCCCAATGAAATGCATTGAAACCCAATCAATGTGTTCCAATGTGCTGAAAACTCACCATCCAGCAAAGGTCCTCCATAGGGGCGGCCATTTTTGGGTGCCTGTATAGTGAAAAATGGCTCCTAAAAACAGCGGGGAGCCGTTTTGTACACCCGGTGGCCATTTTAAAACCCGACGATCAGCTGTTTTTAGATCGTCATAATGCGAAAATCGGTTCTCGAGGCAGGGAACGGATCATCGTGAAGCGGATTTTTCCCATTTAGACCATCATTTTGCAATCATCAAGTGATTTACTCGTTAAGCAAGGCAATCGTTAAGCAAGGCACTACTGTAGTTTCTAATATATATAAAGGATAACTTTAACTTCTCAGTGTTACCTTGATGCCAGCATTCCATAATTTAGTGATTAGCTTCATCCTCTCAGCAAGGAAGTCCCGTTGAGCAGCTGCCACTAGCACTTCTGTTTCTGTTGCACTGATGTTCTCCATTAACTTTTCAGAACACAAAGAGAAAATACTCCAAAGCAATGAGAATGTAATACCATGTTTATCAACCATGCTATCATTTAACTAGGTGTAATCACTTTTGGCAAGAAAAATCTTCCACAGGTAATTCAACAGTTGAGTCACACATTTTCCTGAGCCAGGTTACTATAACAGACACGTTTGCCAAAAATCAGTGACTTGGACTGCAAATCTGCACACACCGGCCTTGGAATAAACCCCATCAAATACAGTGCAACTTAACTGGGAGTAAACATGCACTGTCCTCATATATCCATTTATCCAGAGACAGCTCAAGTCCTTCTGCTGACTGAGCAAGAACAGCAAATGGCATCTCTAATTCACCTAGTCAAGGTGTGCTGTAACCTAAAGTAGCCCTTGGAACCCCTCCCAGTCCCTGGAACTAAAAATGCAAAGAAATCAAGTAATTGACAATCTGCTACCTTTTCCTGATATCAGAATCAGATGCCCAGAGTGGATGCCACACTGCTTAATGGTAGGAATGAAGGCTCTGCATTTCTCTCATTGCTTATACCAATTCTGTCCTGATGATAGTCTCTCACTTGGTTTCTTTCTCTTTATAAATACAAACACTCCCTATTATTAGATTCTTCCCACTCGGAACAAAAAAGTACAGAACAGAAGAAGAGAAAAGCAAGGTTGCTTAGCAAAGCAGAAGGTTGACTTTAGATAAAAACCAACAAAGTTCCTCCTTATATTATTTTTACTGTAAATAACCTCTACTGGCAGAAGACAGCCAAAATGAGCAAAGCACAGTCAGTTTACATCTAATGAACTTCTTGACAATGAACTGGCAAAATTTATTGAAAGCCAGCATAATCCCAATAGCATTTTTATATTGCTTTTAAATAATATTTTAAAACTAAATATGAAAGCAAATGAAACTCAGGTCCAAGGAGAGCCTTGGGATGAGGGCAAGGGGCTGTAATAGCAAAATAAATTGCTACTGGAGTATTGCCACTGCAAGGTTTAGGACTGCTGGTAACAATGTGGCAGCA